TGACAATCTGTCCACAGCTCGTATCACACAAAACCAAGTCGGACATGAACATACTTCACAAATATCTCAAAAGCATTGGTAAAGACACAGATGAGAGTCATATAATAAAACATATTATTATATGTTTTATTATATGACCTTGGCCTTTTTGCACAGACCTCGCCACGGCTTGGTCTGTACATTAAGGCCGCGGTCTGATATTTCTCCATACAGACCGAGCAAGCAAGGTTAATAAGCCGTTATTATCACACAAACTTTTTTATTATTTTTTTACATATAAGTCAATAGGACCCAGAGAGAGAGAGAGAGAGAGAGAGATGATTATCATACTCAAATTATAACTGCATAATCTTCCAAACATGAATAAAGCATAAGCAGCAACATGAGAATGAAACAGGCCTATAGAAACCCCTGTGCGTGTTTCTATAGGATTACCACAAACATTCTCTTCAGAAACAGGAGTCAGGTGTGTGCTGCCGACCCGATGCTTTTGACGATTAAAACCGTAAACAAGATATTCCTTGACAAAGTATCATTCAAGCACTAACCATGTTGGAGTAAGTTAACACTAGAACTCCCAGAGCAGTCAATCTGATGGCTTTACATTTTGAAAGTGTAATTACTGCTCATGTCGGATGGATGATGTCTTTTGTGGGGAAAGGAAAAATGAAAATTCAGTCGTGTTTTATCATTACTGGAGCCTTTCATTAGTGATCGCTAAGATAGGCACATGTGAAATCTGTGGTGAGTGTTGTTACACTTCACATTGAGTCCAAAGAATGAACACAGGGCTGACAGAAGTCCAGTCATGGGTCAGTTTATTTCAGGTTCTCATCAGGATCAGTCGTGAAACAACAACGGCAACAGGAGAGAAAAGAGAAAATCTGAACCATTTTACGATGGATAAAAAGCAAATGTTCAGGGCCTGTACCATGATTACAGGGTTGGGGTGTTCCAATTAACACCGATTAAAATGTGTTCTTGCTATTTTACAGGTTTTTTTGTGTGCAATTATACATGCTTTTCTCTCTGGTTTCTCTCTGCGGTCTCTTTCCAGTTTTTATCTCTGGTCTCTCTCTGGCTGGTCTCTCTATCTGGTCTCTCTCTGGTCTTTCTTTGGTCTCGCTCTCTCTCTCTTTCCCTAGTCTCTCTTTCGTATCCCTATCTAGTTTCTCTCTCTGGTTTCTTTCTGGTCTCTCTTCTTGGTCTCTCTCTCTGGTTTGTCCCTGGTCTCTTTCTCCCTAGTCTTTTGCCATGTGCCCCCAACAACATCATATACAATATCATATAACTGCAAGTAGACAGGATATTTATAGCCAGAATAAAAGTGTTTTGGCTTGTGTGCACCGCAGTGACTAGTTCAGAGGATCCATTGCCCCGGCAGTCTCCCATCACAGGCCCTGTTCTGCTTGGCCTCAGAGATCTGACAGGATAACGCTTTGATGCACATGTATGGAATGATGGTTGAAAGAATGCCAGCTATTATGCTTCTCAAACTAACATTGCTAATTACTTGGTTCATCAAATCATAATTTTTGTCAGAAAATGTGAAAAGTGAAGTATGCAGTTTTCTTCTGAAAGCAAAAACGAGTGATGTGTGAAGAAGAGGTCTGCCCCAGGTCCAAGATGTCTGCCCCTGGTCTCCAAGATGTCTGCCCCTGGTCTCCAAGATGTCTGCCCCGGGTCTCCAAGATGTCTGCCCCAGGTCTCCAAGATGTCTGCCCCAGGTCTCCAACATGTCCACCCATTCAGATCAATGTCTTGTGCTCATTGGCTCATGCTTGCTTCATGGACGTCAAAACATTAGCAGAAGTGCAGGCCTTGTGCAGTAGGTGTGCAGTGGTTCTACTTTTTCAAAACCAGAGTGACGCATGGGCATTCTGAATAATCGGAGCACTGCAGAGAGACCAGAGAGAGAGACAGGGAAAAAACAGAAAGATCCAGAGTGAGACCGGAGAGAGAGACCTGTGAGAGACCAATGAGAGACTAGAGAATCACCAGAGAGAGAAAATATAAATTTGAAATCAACACTGCACTTACTTACTTAGATCAGAGAGAGAGATGGAGTGAGAGACCAGAGAGGGACCAGACAGAGACCAGAGACAGGCCAGAGAGGGACATGTGAGCGTTCTGACCAATCAGCACTGTTGATCCAAAAGGGCGAGTTTGTTGCACAAAAATGTGGATTTATAGAAAATGTATGGATTTAAAATAAAAAATAAAAAGTTCACAATGACAAGGAACACTAAAATACCCAGAATCCTCCTTTGTTTTAGGTAACAAACACCTTCCAGATCATGAATACATCCATGCGGTTTTCTCCAAACTCAGAGTCCAGAGAGCAGCATGAATCAAAGGCTGTGGGCTCTTCAGACTGCAGCTGTGTGTTGACAAAGCGGCACTAGAGGATGAGGCAGGAGCCAGGATCCCTCCTCTCTCCACCTCTTTTTCTTCCCTTCCTCCTATCTCTCTCTCTCCTCTCTTCTCCTCTCTCCCACATTTATGCAGCTAAAATCTGAAACAGTCTTCCTGAAAATATGGGACAGGCTTTTCACTCTTTTGAATGCAGTGGGATTATTTATGAGTTGAGGTGTGTGCAATACAAATAAACTTAGTCTTTCCTTGATAAAACTTGATAAACACAAAGAAAGACGGAATACAAGCGGTCGAAATGACCTTCCTCCGCAGAGTGGCTGGGCGCTCCCTTAGAAATAGGGTGAGGAGCTCGGTCACACGGGAGGAGCTCGGAGTAGAGCCGCTGCTTCTCCACAACGAGAGGAACCAGTTGAGGTGGCTCGGGCATCTGTTCAGGATGCCTCCTGGACTTCTTCCTGGGGAGGTGTTCCGGGCACCCGGGGACACCGGGGCCCCGGGGAAGACCCAGGACACAGCTGGCCTGGGAACGCCTTGGGTCCCCCCGGACGAGCTGGAGGAGGTGTGTGTGGATAGGGAAGTCTGGGCGTCTCTGCTTAGACTGCTGCCCCCGCAACCCGGCAACGGATAAAGCGGAAGAAAATGGATGGATGGATGGATGGGCCATTGAAACCTATATTGTTTTTGCTCGAGACAAAAAATCCTTTTTTATTAGGAACGGGGTAAGGGCCTATTGCTTTCACAATGGTGAAAACAAATGGTGGCGGTGCGTGACGGATGAGTCAGCGCCCGTCACTCACCAAAACGTGACAGTTGCGTGCGTAAACTCAAACGCTTTAAAATTATGTATCACGGGCCATTGAAACCTATATTGTTTGTGCTCGAGACAAGTAAAAAAAAAATCCTTTTTTTATTTATTTATTTATTAGGCCCGAGCCCCGAACGGGGTAAGGGCCTATTGCTTTCACAATGGTGAAAACAAATGGTGGCGGTGCGTGACGGACGCGTCAGCGCCCGTCACTCACCAAAATGTGACGGTTGCGTGCGTAAACTCAAAAGTTTTTGCTCGAGACGTCGAAAAAAAATCCTTATTTCTTTCTTTCTTTCTTTTTTCTTCTGCTCTTTGAGCCTTAATTTGACCCCTTGAACATGCAGTTCAAATGTTATGTTATCTAATTGTGTTGAATCATTTAATAAATAGTATACATGTTAAACATGTTTTCTTCGGCTGTTATCTTACATTGCTTGATTAGTTTGAATTATGTCTTTGTTTAAGTGTAATCAAACTTCTGCTTGCTTTGATTTTTGTGGTTTCTTGAATTATGTGTAGGGCCCCTATGCTGACTTCTGCTTAGGGCCCCAACAAGGCAAGCACCAGCTCTGAATCCACAGATGTGCAGACACGGCTGGCACTGGGGAGAAGTGCAGAATCCACAAACTATGAAGCCCAAGTGCAAGGAAAAAGGAGCCCAAAACATGCTGCAGCCTTTTCTAGGTAAAATAATTTGCACAGTATTTCTCCTTTTTCAGTAGCTCTTTCTATAGCTCCATGGAGGGTATGGGTCCATGGAGCGGACGGGCTCGCATCGGAGTTAACCCTTTAAGCGCAAGAGGTTTTTTTCCAAAACGCTCAATTTTGACATCTTAATTTCAAAAGGCTATAAATTAAAAGTGATAAGAGATATAGGCTTTCTGTAAATTAGAAAAATATTAAAGATGGTCCAAAGTTTATGTAGAGAATAAATCCCCCCATCTAATTTGCATATTATGACATCATTTGACGTTAGAAATAGTGGATTTTAGAATTTTCATACAATATTTGTATTTTTTTCACTGACAGACATATATTGATCACTAGGACATGAACCCACACAGAACATACACTGTAACATTGTAAATGTTCATGAAAATAGTAAAAAATACAAATCATGGTGCTGCTGTGAGCAGTCTGCCCAGACGCGCGCCTCCAGGTGAAGCGCGTCACCGCGACCCTCCTGCTGCAGATTTCTCCCCCACTCTCTCTCTCATCTCCCCTGATCTCTCTCTCGTCTAACACACACAAGACAAGGCTTCACCAACACGTTACTGTCCCAATCTGAGGAGCGCTACGTCCGCGCACTAACTTCTCTCCGGAGACTTCTCTCTCGCTCACTTCGGTCAATAGAAGCAGCGTGACTTGTAGTACGGAGAGAAGTTAGTGCGCGGACGTAGCGCTCCTCAGATTACTACGCCTCACAATATAGTACCCGTTTTATCCGCTGAGAAAATCAACAGTTACATTTCTGTGTTACTATACTTTGCAGTGTAACACGTCACGTAACTATATACATTTAATAGGGAACACTTGGAAGAGTTTGGTAGCTTCTAGCGGGAGCTACCTTTTGGGTACTATACAGTATACAGAGGAGGCTGCGTTTCTGCTCCCGTTTTTGCTCCGTTTGCATGACAGAGCGCACGGACTAAGACCAGACAGGTACATATTAACTAGTCTAAGGTAAGGTTAGAACATATGTCAGTATGTAAAAACGGTGAACTATTCCTTTAAGTAATGCATACAAAATGAAATCAAATGTGGACGATTGACTCGAAGTGGGTTACTGGAAGTGACAGCAGATGGCGGAATGGAGTTATGGTTGGTACGAAGACGTGGTTGGTACGAAGACGTGGTCGGTGCGAAGACATGGTCTGGACTGAAGACGTGGTCTGGACTGAAGACGTGGTTTGGACTGAAGACGTGAAAAAAGACGGTGTTAGTACGGAGACGTGGTTGGTACGAAGACGTGGTTTGTGCGATAGCGGGAAAGAATTGAATAAAGCTAATCTGCGGGTCATTCAAGTCACCGGAGATGGCTCTCGAGTGCTCTCACTGCATTGCTTGTACGCTGCTTGTTGGTCCTTTTCACTTGAGTGATGGTGGTTTGAGGTTTCTTACTGGTGGTGCACTTCGTCATTGTCACGCTACAACGTTGAGCCACGATGATGGTCTGTCAGGTCGGTGGCCCGCCACTGTTCCGCTATGACGATGACCCGCTGCTGTCCCGCTACGACTGTGGCCTGCTGCTGTCCCGCTCTGTCGCCACAACGATGTCGCCTTCTAGCCTCCCCAGGTGGAATCCAGTTCTAACATCAGCGCTCTAAACACTAGCAGTTCATACATCATTCTCCTTTCCCTCCTCACTGCTCACTCTCAGTCTCTGGACATCAGCATCGCGGTTGCTGCTGTCACTGCCTCATCTACATCTGCATTAAATTCATGCCCTAAAATCCATGACGCGTCACATTCTGCTCTGCCCTAATAAGAAGGGCCTTAAAGGAGACAATCATCACTCCTGAAAACTATCCTTTGACCACCGTCTGGTCGGAGCAAGTTCAAATCTGGGCTCTCTGCATGTAACCTCTCTTCCTTTCTCTACCTCTGTCACTCCTTCCAGATAGGAGCAGCCACGTGGGCCGCCGCCTTGGGTTCCCTCGCAGTTGGGTCGCTGGTCCTCTACCACCTTCATCGATTCCGGCAGCCCAACGCTCCCTCTCATCATAAGTATGTATATATCTCCTGGTGGTGGCAACTCCCGGACATCTGCCGCATACTCGAGCTGAGCTCGTGCACGCGCCAACCCCTTAGCGCTAGAGCCGAGCTTGCGCTCGGACATCATGCCACGCACTTGAGCCGAGCTCGTGCACGTACCTACGCCTCAGTGCTAGAGCCGAGCTTGCGCTTGGAGATATTCACTCACACCATGAGCCTTCCACAAACGCAGCAACCAAGTCACGGCAAACACATCGATAATCAAGCTCTCTTTTTGGGGATCATGATTTGCACCCAGGCGCAGATCCCTTCAGAGCACGGCCGCAATCCATAAAATCTCAAACGCATAAAGAACTCTTAAACACATCTTGTCTGTTGTAGTCTTTCCAGGTTGAACTAATATTTACCCCTTAAACTCTCAAGTCTATTCCCATAAGTACTATACTGGCCTTTTCACAGCCTGAACCTTGTTGAAAATGCTAGAAATTTCACTCAAATTTTAAGTAGTCTTTGGGATTCTGTGGATGTGAACATTTTCATGTGTACAATAGTTTGCAAGAGTACATTAGGCTACATTATCAAAAAATGTTGGTTCGCCTATTAACAAAACAAATTATTTATATATGACAATTACTTGTAAAGAATCAAATAAACGTAATCAAACGCAACTTCAACCTCCTACTGACACCTTGGAGCAAAATTCATGTCTAGATACCAAAAACATAATTTCTTTGCAGGTTTTGATCTGAAAAATCCAGGCGGAAATGCATTTGGAATAGTTGTTAGCATTTTTTTCATTAAAACAAATGCAAATGTTTTATAAAAACTCACTCTGTGCGTCTGCTTGCGTCAAAATTGCGAGCTTAAGGGGTTAAGTCACAAAATACTCTCTCCATTAGAGCAGTGACCTAGGCCTAACCTTGTTGAGGGGACAGCTTGTATCTGAGCTAAATTTAGCCAGGGTGTGAGTCATGTGATAAGAGCTAACAGATTCAAACCCTAACCTTTCTGATCTCCTGTTTTTGCAAAATGCTCTTTCTCTTTCTTTTTCTTTATGCAGTGGGGAAGATAAATATTCGGTAATTTCTGATTCTGCAAAATTCGGTAAATCACATTTTTGTAAAATGGTTCTTGGTCAGAAGTGTTTGACCAAGAACGAAAGTTCAGCTCAATACTAAAATGGATAAAACAGGCCGTATTTGGTGCATACACATTCATTCAAACGCTCAAATAACTTAATTATTTGCAAAGAGTGTGAGAACAAAGCAAATGGCCAATTCAGCATAATCTGCTGTAAATTACTGCTGCTTGAGTGACTTTGATTTAAACGAGGTCATGCAACCTGGTCATGGGCTCGTCCTTCTATGTGGCTGCCAATGCCAGGTGCCTAGCAGCTGCTACCCAGTACATTTGAACCTGCAACGTGACCCTCCCACAGGCATACACCAGTCAAACAGTGGAGTATTTGACAGGGTTACATAGGCCAAAAGCTGCACTCCCACTCAGCAGTTCAGATCAAATATATTCTTTGAAGAAATGGAAAAAGTCCAGTTTTATAGATTTGAGTTTGTAAAAACCAACACAACCACGGGCCCAACGCATGCACGACATTTAATTGATAAAAGCATCTAGTGTATTTCCACCAGATGTAGGGGCTGCATATTCTGATAATCTTCTTTTCAGTTTGTCCTGTTTATCCATATACAGTTCTGTTTTTTTGAAATGTGTCATTTGTTTAACAATTTATGCTTTTGGCAATAAATTAGACAAATGTTAGCTCAAGAAGGGGTGCCAATTTAATTGTATGGCACTAAAATATATATTATTACTTTTTAAACTACTAAAGGCTTTCAAATATGTTTTTTCTAATGGTAGTTTTTGCAATTGAACTATTCATTTGTCAAATTTATCTAATAGAAAATTCTACAAACAATCGATTCAGCTAGCTCCCTTGGACTTTGGCGTGAACTCACCGATGGGCGTTTCCACTCAAAGTGCATAGTAGGCTTCTGGCTGTAGAAGAGTGAGGCATCTGTGGCGGGAAACAGAGGGTCTTCAAACAGCACCTTCTTCTTCACATACTTGTCCCGCAGCTCCAGGAACGTCTTGAGCCGCTGTGCGTCCTTCACCACTTCATTTCGACTCAGAATGGCTGAGTAGATTGAGGTCCCCTCAGCCAGAGGGTAATCCAACTTCTCATCTGCGGGAAAAGACGCTTCGGAACCAAATGTGACTTTTACAACAGTCTCCTCTTCTACCAAAGGCTGAAGTAGCTGCTCAATCATGCTGTGTCAACATGCGCCAACAACACATAAGAGAGTTTTGTTTTTCCTGCACGTTAGGAAACACTTTCACTTCCTTAATCTGTGTGGGAGTGCTGTGAGCCTTGCCTGAGCTAAATATACTTTTAAGGCAGAGGGTGAGAGACAAGACAAAGGGGCCCTCCCCTCCGTCTTAGCCACATGCAGTGTGGGACTGTCTTGCCCGGGCTGTATTTATAGAGCATTAAAAGTCTCAGCCTCATCAAATGTCTTTGGTACGCCGTACGTCAACCTGTAACAATAGTCAATGTTCATCAAAGTTTGGTCATCATCAGCAGAAACATAGTCTTTCAAATATTGTGGAGTCTTTCTCTTTTGTCTCGGATATTGTCCTTCTTCAGTGTTTTCACTCTGTTTCTCAGGTTTTTGTTCAGATTTCATCGTCACGTGTCACATTGTCCTGTGTTTCAGTGTCCGGCTCTATTGTCTCTTTCAGACTTTTATTGATTGTCTTGTCCAATCTTTTACAGTATGTTCCAACTGGTTGAAATTCATCTTCATCCAGAGTGGTCTTGTTCTGGACTCATCTCCACTTGTAGTGAGGAACTTAACCAATCTGTGTTTGAGAACTCGACCTGTTTCTGGATAAAAGACTAGATATGACGGACTGTTTTTATCGTATCCCACAAAAACTCCTTCGTCACACTTTGCGTCTAGCTTCGTTTTGTTTTGTCGATAACTGTAACAAACTGACCCAAAACATGGACATGTTCGGGGTCTGTCCTGTGCGTCTGTTGTAACACCTGTTGTGAATTACTGCAGCAGTCATTACAGCATAAGTCCATAGTCTTTTAGGTAAATTACTCTCAAGCAACATACAACGTGCCATCTCAAAAAGTGTTCTCAAATTTCTCTGGACTGTCCCGTTCTGATGGGGTGAGTACGGTGCAGAGGTTTCATGTCTTATTGCGTTCTCTCTCAGCAATGATTGAAACTCTCTGGAAGTAAACTCTGTGCCGCTGTCTGATCTGATTCGTTTCACTTTCCCATAGGGGGCGACATCTGCTAGAAATGTCTCAGTTGCTTCTACAGTGTCACTTTTAGCTTTTGAGAAATAAACAAAAGTTGTAACTGAATAGTCGTCAGTAAAAGCTTTTGAGTATCTGAACCCGTCTTTTGCCTCAGGGTCGATCGCTCGAGCTAAGTCAGTGTGTACCAGCTCTAATGGTGCATTCAGACCGCAAACGCTCAAACGCTGAAGCCCCGCTCACCAGACGCGCATTCTCTAGTTTTCAGACGCAGAGGTCTTCACACCAGAACGTCCTGATGCGAGCCGGAAGTACCGGAAGTAGCCGGCCGGCTCTGATGCTAACAGAGCTATGCTAGCGGCTTCTTGTGTACAGATCTTCTCCAATACACAGCTTTGCAGCGTGTCTTTGCCTAGAGACCTTCCACGGGCTTTATATAACAGTAGTATGTGTTCACGGAGGTGCGCTATACCAGGGACGTGCGGTGAGGTTTGTGATTGGGGAGGCACTGACTTTAAAAGTCAGATTTACAATCATTATTCAAATAAAATAGCATTTAATCACCAATGCAATGACATCCACAAACTTTATATACTGTAAAGATAAGAGAACCAGCTTCTTTTAATAATCTCACAACAAATCTAGCTGCTGACTCTGCTCCGCATCAAACAACATCTTTAAGAAGCGCAGGTGCGAGAGACGCGAGGAGAGAGAGACGCGAGGAGAGAGGAGCAGAGAGAGACAGAGAGAGGAGCAGAGAGACGGAGACGCGAGGAGCAGAGAGAGACGGAGACGCGAGGAGCAGAGAGACGCGAGGAGAGAGGAGCAGAGAGAGACAGAGAGGAGCAGAGAGACGGAGACGCAAGGAGCAGAGAGAGACGGAGACGCGAGGAGAGAGAGACGCGAGGAGAGAGGAGCAGAGAGACGGAGACGCGAGGAGCAGAGAGAGACGGAGACGCGAGGAGAGAGAGACGCGAGGAGAGAGAGACGCGAGGAACATAAACAATAATTTAAACAAGTTGCAGAACTCTTGAGCAGTGTTTGAATCAGTGTTTTTCGGAAAAGCACTACTTTGCCGGTATCTGTCAATGTTCAACATAAAACACAGATTAACAAACTCCTCCCCCGCAGCCGGACTAACCTCGTAAGTCCAGTGGTGGTCTCCCAGTCTATATTAATTCTTTCTTTGTTTGAAAGTCCAATTGAGAAAAAAAATCTTCATTCAAATCCATCCATTTTCCAGCAAAAGAAATAGCATTTTGGGCTGATTGTTTGTTAGCAACTCTGGTATGAACTTTATGCTCACTATCACCCCTAGCGGTGAGGCACAGATACCGCCTGCCTCACGCCAAGCTTTTTCCTTGTGTGTTCATCTACGATCAAAAGACTTAAACTAAATATAAATTGTACACACATACGTGCAATACACTACTAAACACTAAGAGGAGTTTAAAAAATGTTTTTAAAGCAGGATATTTGAAACAAACGGTGATATATCAACTGCACGAGCTGAGTGCACTCAGACACACACACACACACTGTGAGGGAGCGGTCTGGGGTGAGGCACGCAGGAGCGCTGCCTCACCTCGTCTCTTTGAATAGGAATAACGGGATTTCGGCGATTTTGACTTCAGAAATGATCAAAACTGATGGGAACCGTGCCGAATATACATTAAAAGCATAGGACAGTGGATATAAATTATATATTTAAACTAAAATAATTATTAGTTTCCAATAATGGCAGGTGAGGCTCTGCCTCCCCTGCCTCCCCTGACTGCACGTCCCTGACACACACACACACTACTCTGATCTCACAACACTACCCCCACTCTGGATGGCAATGACCAATTCCAATCCAGTAACATAATAGAAAACGGGTACACATTTCCCCTAATAGCAGGCCTGAGAATAACTAAGAGGTAGCAGTGTCCATTATAACTAAACAGGTAGGCTTCAATACAAGAAATGCTGTCTACTCAGTGACATATTAGCTTATTTAAGGCAACATGTGAACATCAGTGATTAATAAAAAAAGGTAAATAATACACTTCTTAATTATTGTGGCGACCGGGAGCAACATAAAACTGACTGATAATTACAAATATAAAGTTACTTATACAGATTAAGCATGACTAAAGTGCACAGGTATAGAAATATACAGACTCTTGAGCATTCTTTTTTTCTTTCAAACTGCAAAAAATAGAAAAAGGTGCATTTAACAGATACACAGAACACAAGACAACTGTTTCAAAATATAAACTGCAACGTCTCTAGTGCAACTTCAGCCGTAGAATATAGTCTACTCGGTTAACCAGTCACCATACCGGTCCGGAGCTTGGCGCTGACGTCTGGAGTGCAGTTCCACAGGGCGCGGGGGGTGTGACCCTCCCATCGCACCCCCACCCACCATGGTCAAGTGTGACATGGGAAGGAGAGGATGGAAGGGACCCAACTGCATCGGATGCAGACAGAAGTGGCAGCTGGGCATATGGCTAGCGCTGTCACTGAACACCGGAGAGAAGAGGCTCAGCAAACCGAGGTCCTGGTGAGCGGCTTCTTGATCTGCAGCACCCTGGTCAGCGACGGCTTGGTCCACAGCACCCCAGGCAGCGGTATCTCCGTCTGCGGCGTCCCCGTCAGCGGCGCTATTAATGTTTTATCTTTTTGGTAAGATTTTGACTTTCTCCACATTGAGTGGGAAAACAGTGGGCTGCCTTGCAATGACCAAACTGGCATCGTTGTCCCCGACCTGGCCTCTCCTCTGACGGATGAACAGTTGGCAGCTTTGAAAGAAGCAGTTGACCCAATGGCTGCATCACAATCTTTTGCTTGTGATATTTATATATCTGCTGTACAGCTGTGTGAGCAAATGCTTTCTTCATGAAATAAATCATTGCAATTCATGAGATTTGACATTTTTAATCAATCTATGTCATTCCTTATATGGGGACTCAGAAGCTCTACTCAAATTTCAATTCCCACTTTCCAATGTTAAACAATATATGTATAATCCAAAGACGGGCCTGTAGATTTATTCAGTGGTTAGTAACAGTGCAAGAGTACAAAGGATCACTATTGTATTGACAAATGGCTCTGAACAGGATACAAACATTCATTCTCACTTGTACTAAAAAAAGCTGAAATGGTTCCATTAATGTGTCAGCGCTGAAATGGTAACTATAATGCCAAGGATGAACCTGAAGTTGAGGGAATAATCCTATTCATGTATAAGATTAGACCTCATAATGGCAACAAAGTTGGGCTATAAACATGAATGCCTCAATAACTTTAGTTATATGAACAGTGAATATTCTTAACACAAATTTTTAAAATTCAAACCAAACCAAATCCTGTGTGGCAGGTGGATATAGAAGCAAGCAAGTCACTGTGAAATCCGTCATAATCCTTGTAGTGACACGGTATGCGCAGCATCTCTAGGCAAGTGGCAGCAGTAACGTATCTTCCGGTAACAACCTCTACAGACAAACTTATTGGCAGGATCTCCCAGCCTGTCCAGAATTTAATCAGATTCTGAAGTTCAGTTGGTGCTGCTATAGAACAGATAAAAGTATAAAATGTTGTGTAAAAATTTTAAATTTCATCAAAAGTACTGAATTCTATTTAGTGCAAATGTATTTTTGAAACCCACCTTTAATGATGAACTCCCGGAGATAGCCAGACACACAGCTCTTGATTTCAACTGAGCACTCATCATTGTCATCATCGTCGTCAGCCTTCGGCCAAATGATACGTTGCAGAAGAACCTGTGTTAACAAGCCACACAATAAAAATTGCAATTGCATCAGTATTTTACTTAATTCACACCAGTCTATATGCCTGACCTCCGGACTGATATTTCCAGCACCCTTCTGTGGGAGAAGTACTTCTACTGTGTCTGGTCTCTTGGTCAGAACTGTCCATAATGGTGTTTCTTTGAGTCCTCGACGAAGCTGCTTAATCTGTCTAATAACTCGTCCAATCACCTGTGAAGGAGAATGTGTTTAAACTTCAAGACTAGTGATGATGTCAATGGCAAAATTATTTCATTTAAATGCAGTGTCATGCAAAGCTTTGAGCACCCAACCTTTTACACCACTATAGTTTGATAGAAAAATAAAAATACAATTAAATCAGAAACGGCATTTACTTACTGCATGAATTAAAAGTTTTTCAAAAACCCATTTGCGGTTACTGTTGTTCAGAGAAGGGAGGTCCCATGCATAGGCCAACTCGTGGATCTGCTTTCTATCTTTTTCAGACAGCTCTGAATCACCTTCCAACTAAAAGAACAGTTGGCAGAGGTAATGTCAGCAAATATACAAATTATAATTATGAGACAAAAGGTATTGTAGATTTTATCTATATTTACATGTTTCAAAGGGGAATACTGATCTTCCTCAAAAGTGTCACACCGCGTGTGCGACGTCTTATCAGCTGATGTTCACAGGTGTGGCCGACAGATCTGGTAGACTTGTCCGGTTGGCCACACCTGGGAACATCAGCTGATAACGGGCACATCACACACGTGGGAAGTTGGGAGTTCTCCCAATTGAAACATGTAAAGGTAAAAACATCTGCTATATACAGTTCATATCGTTTGTACGCTTTTTGATTCAGCAATAATGAATACAATTCATCAAAAAACATACAAGCTTGATGGTGTCGCGGATGTCCAAATCCGGACAGTCTTCCAGGGTGACCATAGAAGTCTCAGGAGTTCCACCAAGAAGGACATGCACAATCGCAGGGCTAAGTCCAGACAGGCAGGGCCCTCCATGAAGGAAAGAGTGACCCATCATTCGCCCTGCCATGAGGAATAGGTCACTTTCAACCAGAAAGTGTGAAGCTGATGGTACCAGATGACCCGGCTCCCCTTCAAAAAGCTTAGTAGCATTGGCATTTGCTGTAGAAAAACAATTATTTTTCACAACAACAAAAAACCATTTTAATATACAAAAGATTTAGTGTCTGCATGTCAGAAGCAGATTTCATACCAAAATGTATGTGAAAACCTAGTTTTTCCATGCATGTAGACAAAAAGAAGCGTGTAACACCAGGCCCTACAGCAGTATCCCCTGTCATAAAAGTTAAAATTTAATAACTGCCTTTAAGACAACATCAGCATTCAATAGGGCTTACCTTCCAGTTGGCATTTCAGTGGACGGGCCCATGCTACATTTGTTTGTTTATAAAAAGAGATGAGGGCCATGTCCTGTTCTGTCCTGTGTTTCTAATGTCCATGCTAAGAGTTAATGGCTTTTCATTTTCATGACTTTGGAGATGATGTTGAGCAGTCTCCAAAATAACCCTGCCTGGATCCTTTGCAGATAACCATTCTAGGGACATAATAATAAACCTACTATAAGTATACAGTATAGAAATGATGCACATTTTATACTGAAAACTAAATTCACAAATTCATTCTATTTTTTTTTTCTTCAATAAAGTATTGCTCAAATTACCCTCATAAACAGTAGATACTTTGGAGGGTCCAGGAATAGCTGCAAACTCTTCATTAGGAGCTATTGCAGATTGGGGTGAAACTGAACTAAAGACAAAGAAAAAGCAAGAGTTTGAGCGTGACACATTTGTTGCTTGTGTGACCAATGAAAGATTGTGAATAAACCCACAGAAAAAAATGCATACCTTTCCCCACATGATGAAGCATGTCGCTCAATCAACTCCGTGGGAAACATCTTCAAACATACAGGACATGGCTGCACTGTTAATGAGAAAATAAAATAACCAGGATTTGTAAATCAAATTGTTTTTACATTAGAAATGATGAAAACTTACATTTTTCCTCATCGGGATGACTGGGGTCCTCATCAGTTGGATCAAAATCAATTTCAATAACTGCACAAGAGTTGATGTGATCCTGTAAAAGCTGAAGAGGGACATCTACTCCACACTTCTGACACTTGGCTTTTGCCATGTCCTTGAACGCTTCATCGGTTAGATTTAGTGGACTTGTGCCAATATCCTCTTGAATATGCACAATGTAAAGTTTTTGACCCCCTTGAGCAACAGACTTCAATGTCCTGCCTGTATAGCCAGCATCATCAGGTGACACAAGTGAGAGTTTGCGACTACCCCATCCAGCTGTTGAAATAAGAACATACATTTATATGGCTTGCTGTTACAGTTGTCTCTTTAGAAATTTTGAAAAATATACCAGTGGATTTATACAGTAGCCATCCGCCAGTGATTGTTTGCAGTTTGGGATATAATTGGATGAGGGCATCACATAACTGTGAAAAGAAAAGTAAATTCAGTGTATAATACAATAAGCTGAATTTGAAAACAAAAACACATTTAAAAATTTTATCATTATGGCAAAAGTACAATGATCAATTACCTCTTCATGTGTAATACTTTCATCTAAACAAGCAGTCCTTGAACCCAAGCCTGCCTTCAAATGCGACACTTTGTCCGTAGGGGTTCTTTCAAACTTCTTGGGGAGAAGGTAGAAAGACACTTGAAGTGGCTTACATTTTTTGGCAGGCATTAGAGAAGGTGGAGGAAAGCGTTTTTTCCATCTGCTTTTGGAAAAAAGACCAGGGAAAGTTCTAGTAGGACACAACAAAGAGATATTTAAATGAAAAGGAAAGCACAAGCACAAGTATTTTGTAATAATAAATAGTCCAATAACCTGGTCATTTCCATTTGCACAGTTGGGCTTTCAGGCCGAGCAGTGTTGTCACTCCCACCTACATGACGCTCAACTCTGCATGATACATATTCATGAGTAACGATATAATTGTAAGTAAATATATTAATTAATTAATAAATAAACAAACTATACTATACCCAATATTCTGATTTGTAGCTGCGACACATGATGTGTTTGGTAGATTATCTGACGATGTCAGTAGTTGCAGCAAACGTCTGGCTGACTGCACAATTTCTGTTCGACCATCCTACAAAAAGAAGGTTGCAACAAGTCAGATAGGACAAAGAATGTGTCCTTCATTGCACTCTTTACGAAAATACAATTTTGTATCATGTTATTACAACAATGACCACTGTAAACTCTCTGACAACAAGGTTAAAAACAATTCTGCTTGCCTGTGCATACAACTGAGGGATTTTGTGCATAGTAACATGTGCAATAGTTCAGGGTGAATGAGTGTGTGTTTGTGTGTGAGAATGTGGGACAACGGATGGAAATTAGCCCATGGCTACAATCTGGAGTGATGTGTTCATTAACATGTACTGTCCCAACCAAATAAACAATAAATAAATAAATAAATGAGTTGCCTTGTGTATGAATTGTGCAATACAAATAAACTTGCCTTGCCTTAAATGACAAACCAAAGTGAACAGACAATACACCTATAGTAAAAGAGCAAGCGAATACTGTTGTGTGTTTTTGCGCGCATGTTAATGTACGTGTGTGCGCGCTTGTGTGTTTCCATCTACAAGTGTCATTCTGTTTGGTGCAGCGAGCGCTGTGACGATAACGGGACTTTGCCGCTGGTTAGGGGTGCACCGCTCCACATGATACCTTCACTGCTCAAACTAGCTCCAAATGAAGCCTGATATTATTATAGATCCATGCTCACTCACTTCGCCTTTCTATCCTGTACACGGCGCTCAGAAACAGACCTTTGACCAAGACACCTATTGAGAATGAGGAGTCACGTGATAATTTGGGCGGGGTCTAATCCGGTCGGCCATGTTGATAGGATCCTCTATCGGTTGCCAGGGGCAACGCCACTAACGCTCAATATATACAGTCTATGCTAACGCTCCAGAGGTCTTTAACTGGAGCGCGTTTATTATTTCGGCAGTAGATACATCTACGATTACAACACTAGCAAGACAGTTAATGGAGAAAGTGAAGGCGAAAGGAAATGGACCGTACAGGGAAAAGCAAAACAACGTTATTTGGAGAAGCTCTCAGACATACAACAGGTAGACCCATACGAGCTTCCTGCAGTGGAGTGGCAAAAATACCTTGACTTTTTGCCTCCGTGCACGTACATGGATATAGTGAATTACCTTGTTTTCGGTGTTAGTTATTATACAATGCAGGAGTTTAGAAGTCACAAGTCACTGGAGAGTTACGAGGCTTTCTGCTGTGGTTGGGTGCAGGACTTGGCCATCTACAAGCCTCCAGGCGGTGAAAACACCGTTGTACTTGCACTAACAGCAGTATTACTATTTTATTATGTTGTCCATCTTTTCATGCTGAAATATTTAGCTATACGTTGACAGCACACGTTCTTTTCTTAAGCCGAATAGTGCCACTATTCAGCTTAAGAAAAGAACGTGTGCATTCAAAGTATAGCTAAATATTTCCAGCATGTAAACATAAACAACATAATAATGAAATACTATAATTAGTGCAAAAGAACAAAAAACATACAAAAAAACCCCCAATTTTTTTATTGTTTGGATGTTGTTTGTTCTTTTGCACTAATAACAGTATTATTATTACTTATTATACGGCTCCTCACAGCAGCAGTAGAATGCTCCATTGATTTGAATGTAATTTCAAAACGTTCTACCGGTCATTATTTTCTATAACGGACCTCTCAAAACAATAATGACCGCTGCCCATGGCAACGCACTCTCTGCTTGTCTTTCAAATGCGTGGATAACTCCGCAAGTAGTTCCGGCCACTCCGGAGCTAGCCACGCTCAATCAACACACTTAAATGTTAATCGGAGAATACTTATACATATACATTCTTCACACACGTGCACGGAAGTTTTCAGAATTTTCTGGTCTTGTCTTCATGACAAAAATACTATTTCTCTGCGTCAAAAAGCGATCGTGAAAAACCCGGAAGTAGTTCTGGCCGCTCAATAAACGCAAATGCCAATCAATCAACGCAATGAAATGTTAATCGGAGAGTAATTTATACATATCCAGTCTTAATACAAGTGCACGGAAGTTTTCAGAATTTTCCGTTTACGTTTTCATGACAAAAACACTGATGTAATGCGAGAAAAGGCGATCCCGAAAAACCCGGAAGTAGATACCGGCACATTTTAAGATACCGGCACATTTTCGGACACATTTGCAGAGGATCGAATTATGGATTTAGGTTAGGTTTATGTATGGGTCACTCACCGCTGATGTTCAGAATTCTTTGTTCAGTTTTCATGCAGTTCCAGAGAGTTCTAATTTGGAAGTTGCCAGCCTAACTGTTGCCCGCGGTTGCCGAGCAACGGGAAAACTTTTTGGGACTACTTTATTTGTTGTCATTAAATAAACTTTTGGCATTCATAAAAGTGATCTGAAGTTTATTTTGTGTGTTAAGTTGGTACACAGCAGTATAATAAGCGGGATAATGTATAGCCTACAGGTCATTATCGGAAAATAAGTACCCTCAGGACGGAAGCAGACCCCTCCGCTGCGCGTCGGGGTCCGCTTCGCCCTGTCGGTACTTATTTTCCGATAATGACCTGTAGGCTATACATTATCCCTTACTTATGTTGTTTATGTTTACATGCTGGAAATATTTATACTTTTAATGCACACGTTCTTTTCCTGAGCCAAATAGTGTTTTTTTGTTGGTATGTTTGGTTCTTTTGCATCAGCAGTGTTACTATTTTATTATTATGTTGTCCGTCTTTTCATGCTGAAATATTTATACGTTGACTGCACTGTTAACTTTTCCAAGAGATTACACCCCCCCTCCAAAAAAATGTTAATTTCTCAATAAATATTGCTTTGCCACATGAAGGTGTTTCAAACATTTATTTCAAAGAAATTAAAAAGGCAAGGCAAGTTTATTTGTACAGCACAATTCATGTTACAAAACAATTCAAAGTACTTTAAATTAAAA